GTATTTTATTGGTGTTAAATATGCTGACATTGATAACTGTGTTGTGGCTGTGTAAGAGAATATCCCTATTTATAGGAAATGTATTATACTTCGAAGTATTTAGGGCAAAGGGCCATGATGTCTGTAATTTGCCCTCAAAAATATTCAGAAAAAAAACTGCATCTGTGTGTGTGTGTGTATGTATGTATGTATGTAAAGAGAGGAAGAGGAGGAGGAATATGCATGATTGCAAATGATAAATGAGGTGAAATATTAACCATTGGTGAATATGGGTAAACAGTGTAAGGGTACTATTTGTATTATTTTTACTTTTGTAACATCTATAGGTATGAAATTATTCCCAGATAAAATGTTAAGACAATATATATAGTTTAGCTATGATACATTCTGATGAACTAACAAATACCAAATTTGTTCTAGAAGAATGAATAGTTAGTATGCCCATTAGTCAGTTTCTCTCAAATATCGGATGTCTCATGTGAGTCTTTGGTGAATACTGGATTAAATCAATTCATGGTTCCAATGAGTGCCTTAAGTGCCAATACTCAGTTGTTGATTGAAGAGGGATCCTTATGTTTTAGACACCAAATATGGGACAAACACCGTTGACGTTCTGTTGTGAAAATATGAAAGCCCAATTTATTTTGTGCTTGTTCAATTTCTCTTGAAGATGGATCAGAGAGGTACTTAAAGGAAGTTACCAATATTTTCTCTCAGGGAGCCTTGGAAACTGTAGAAGCAATTGGACAGGTGCTCAGGTATGATCCCAGTGTTCAACAGTATAATATAAAAAAATGATTTGGCCTAAAATATTTTAAAGGCATGCGTTAGCAATTGACTGACCTCCATTATGAAGGAATCTGAATTTTTTCCCCTTTAGAAAGTGTAATTTTTTTTTAACAGAGTGCATGCTGATGGTCCTTCAAGGATAAATTAGCTGCAAAATGCACCCCAAATAATGGATTCTGTCTAGTTAAGAAGCAAATTAGATGGATAAAAAGCACTTAGAACATTGTAAAAAAGTTAAAACTGTTTTAAAAGAGAGAAAATATCGGCCCGGTACGGTGGCTTACACCTGTAGTTCTAGCACTTTGGGAGGCCGAGGTGGGCGGATCACCTGAGGTTGGGAGTTTGAGACCAGCCTGACTAACATAGAGAAACCCCATCTCTACTAAAAATACAAAATTAGCCGGGCATGGTGGTGGGCACCTGTAACCCCAGGTACTTGGGAGGCTGAGACAGGAGAATAGCTTGAACCCAAGAGGCAGAGGTTGTGGTGAGCCAAGATCGCGCCATTGCACTCCAGCCTGGGCAACAAGAGCGAAACTCCATCTCAAAAAAAGAGAGAAAGAGAGAATATCGAGTGCTAATAGCAGGTAGCAGGGTGGGAAAAGTTTAATCCAAGGTACATTTTAAAAAATTGTATGGCAGGCAGCCCCACTCCCAATGTGAAAAGCCTTTCATGCCTATAGTTGCAAAAGAAATTCATAAAAATGCAACAAGGCTTTAAATTAAATTGGCAGTATAGCGTTCTCCTCTTTTCCACGGTTTTGCTTTCCATAGTTTCAGTTCCTGTAGACATCCATGGTGTGAAAATATTGCATACTATAATATACTTTGAGAGACCACATTCATGTAACTTTTATATATTATATGTAACAATATTACATATTATACTTGTTCTATTTTATTATTAGTTATTGTTAATCTTTTCCTGTGCCTAATTTATAAATTAAAATTTATCATAGGTATATATGTGTAGTAAAAGACAATATATATGGGGTTTGGTACTATCCATGGTCCAGGCATCCATTGGGGATCTTGGTACATATCCCCTGCAGGTAAGAGTGGAGACTACTGTATCTTGACAGTCCACAAGAATGGGAATGCTTCTCCTTTTTTGTGTCTGTGAGTTACGAAAGAATGGGCATAGTGGTGGATTGGAGTGTCTCCTACTGGCCTGAGAACTGATGGTTAAAATTTTAGGAATTCTTCAAACTGATTGTTAAACACAGCTATTATTAAAAACTAAAGAACATAGGCTTACTGTTAAAATTACATTTTTAAAAGCTAATAAATACTCCAAACTCCTCACTTCCTAATTATTTTATTGCATTTTATTATGATCTATGCTTTTGAAGTTATTTATGTAAGTATATCATATCTCTGGTTGAAATACTATAATGGTGTGCTTTTGTACATTTTTTCCCCCCAACTCTGTGTTTGGTAATGTCATAGTGATAACTAGAAATTAACTATGGCAAGAATATTTACACTACAGAGATTGTCAAATGTCATAAATAGGACTTTATTTATTATTTCTTGATTGTCTAGACTTAAAGTGAGAGAATGCTGCTAATAAAAATGTATCATGCCTTTAGCTATTATATTGTAACTAAAAAAAAGTATATATTCTTCCATTATTAAAAAATGATTACTTCAGCTAAGAAGTCACTCACATCATTGACATCAGTGACATAAAGAAAAACATCAAGTAATACTACGAAGGCCACTTGGAAAGCTGATTGCTGAATATTTGCCAGCACACTGCTAGTCATGGCACAGTTGAAATCATTGCTTTTATAGAAAATAGATAGTAATACAAATTTATTATACTGATTTTCAGCTACAGGAAGAAGTAGTATGACTGTATGTCAGCATTATTTAAGAAAAAAAGGTTGAATTTGTAAAGTCATTAACTGTGGCACATAATAATTTTAAAGTAGATAATTTGAGGCCTTCGATAGGTCTATTGCAGATTAGAAATAGAATTACAGAATTTAGAGTTTCTCTAGTATATGTCAGTCATCCAGCCTTTATCTAAATTCTGCTAGAGATAGAGCTCATTTTCTGATAATAACATTGGAGAAATCTAGAGGTAGAATTCTTTCCTACATTGAACTAAATTTTGTTTTCCTTTTATTTCTAACATTTGGTTCTGGTACTGACTTCTGGAGAAACAGAAACATAAACAAGAAATTTTGTGTCTTTTATAGAGCGGCCAATCTTTCAGGTATAAAGTTAGCTGTGGTTTTTCGGGCTCTTTGGGCAAGAGTTATACCTTTAGTTCTTTTAGCTCTACACTGTGTGACATATTTTCTAAACTCTGTAATCTAAGAGTGTGTTGCCTTTTTGAAACATCACGTCACTATTTTGGGGCTTTTATTGACCTTGTGAACAAAATAAAAGCCTTTAGATCTTTCTTTATGCAAATTGTACGGAAGTCACGTCTTCTGTCTTCTGTTTGATTCTTTAAAAAAAAAAAAAAAAAAACTCCAAAAGAGATCCTTGTGTTTACTGTTTTATACCTTCATATTGCTTTCAGCACAGCATTTCAGATTATAGAAATGATACTGAATTTTAATTTTTTAATTTTTGGTGTTCTGTCATTTTTATGTCAGTTGCAGATTTGATAAGCACTCAGTGTTTATTGTTTACATCTAAATTATTGTATAAAATGTTGAATTTCAAAGGGCTATATAATCCTCCTTTAATCTCTAAATTCATTTCTACCCATTATTTTTTGTGGTTTAATCTTTTGTGAGTCCACTTATCAGTTTTGCTAAGTAATCCCCATTTCATCATTTTATATCCAAAAGTTCATTATGATATATTTTGTCAGTTGTTTTATTTACTATAATCCAGGTGTGCTATGTCTCTGGTATCCCTTCCTATGAAACACACTTCAGTACTTAGTGTGGCATTTTTTGAAAAATCAGTAATTAGGCATTTTTTGAAAAATCCTGGCATGGCTAAATGTTAAGGTCATATTCTTCCTCAAATGGAATATATAAAATACATGAAGAATGTTGGGCTAGATATTAACTAAGATATCAAAAGAGAAAAAGAACAAGATAATCACTGGAGATACTTAATGATCAGGGCCACAATATTACTTGGGCTGAAAGGAAAATAGGCACTAGAGCTTTTTCACCAAGGAAATATTCTGGACCAGGTGAAATTTTAGGGGTCTGGAATAGAGTGGACAGGATGTGTTAGCCTTTTTTCCTCTCTACCTTCTCATTATCTCCTTTTGAAATGTATGTTGTGAAATGTTAACAGTGGGTGCATCTGCATGTATGTGAGTGTTTCTCTGTTGTGTATTGCACCTCCTTACTCTGTCCTGGACAAACTTATCCCTACTTCATAGCATTATTTTGAAAATTAAAAGAATAATTCAATATGAAATTCCCTAGCACGTTTTCTTGTATTTAGTAGATAGTAGATAAAGGTTTAACTTTTATTATATTTCTTCTTGTTAAATTCCATTGAGCTACCATGGTGGAGGTTGTCAGGAAGTTACTAGAGTGAATTGTCTCATCACAGTTTCCTCCGTCTTCTACCCTCCTTCATCCTAGCCAGATCTGTTTTATTACTGCTGGAAGCAAGGGAAATTCATAGCAAGTCACTTGACTAAATGGTATTAATAGAATAATACTTTTCTCTTTTTCACTACTTTCTCTTTTCTAAAAAATATTAAATCAAAAGCAACATCTTCTAGAAAGCATTCTCTGATAAGTCATTTCATTTTCTAGCCAACATTCAAGTTACTCTCAAAAATCACTTTATGTGCATATATATTTATGTTGAACAAAACCAAAAAATTAAAGGAAAAAAAAAAGACTGGGCACAGTGGTTCATGCCTGTACTCCCAGCACTTTGGGAGACTGAGGTGGGTGGATTGCCTTGAGCTCAGCCTGGGCTTGAGACCAGCCTAGGCAACATGGCAAAACCCCATCTCTACCAGAAATACAAAAACAAACAAACAGAACCACAAAGCCAGGCACGGTGGCATGTGTCTGTGGTCCCAGCTACTCGGGAGGCAGAGGTAGAAGGATCACTTGAGCCTGGGAGGGCAGAGGTTATAGTGAGCTGAGATCTCTTCATTGCACTCTAGCCTGGGTGGCAGAGTGAGACTCTGTCTCAAAAAGAAAAAAGAAAATCTTTGGTTCAATACATTGCAATTAGTGTCTGATAATTAAATCATTCTTCTCTTGCAGATTGTGTTGGTGCCATGCAGCAAGAAGCAGAGAGATGCAGAGTTCGAGCCAGAAGGCCTGACATGGCACTTTATGTACCTAAAGCTCGAAGGGGTGCAGTACTCCTTAGGACAGGTGATGAAGAAGAAAGCTGTGGTTCACCTAACTCTGTGGTGAAAGAAAAGCAAAAAGAAAGCTCTCTCTCCCAAAAAGAAGTCTTTAGAGACAAACCAGAGGCTCGAAGACTAGGTATCAATCCTGATAGAAAGGAGCATAATTGTAGAGAAGGAAAAAAATCTTCAACAAAATTAAGAAAGGACACATGCCTTCAAAAAACAAATAGAGTTTGTTCTAAGAGAGGAACCACTGAATCCAAAGAAGTATTATCCCAAGGACATCAGCAGGGAGCCCCAAATGCTGGGGTTATAACTAATGCACCTTTACAGAGACATTTTAAACCAAAGAAAGTGGAGTGTTTGGAAGTTGAAACTACAGATGTGACAGGACATGAGAGGATACTTCTGTCACAGGCCTGTTCAGAAATCAGTGAGGCTCAGGTTCCAAGCAAACCATTCCAAAATCTGGAATTCTGTGACTTCAGTAGGCATGAACCTGATGGGGAAACATTTGAACACAAAGATTTGGAAGGCAGAATTGAAACTAATACCAAGGTTTTGGAGATACTATATGAGTTTCCTAGAGTTTTTAGTTCTGTCATGAAACCTGAGAATATGATTGTACCAATAAAACTAAGCTCTGATTCTGAAATTGTGCAACAAAGCATGCAAACATCAGGTGGAATATTGAAGCCCAGCAGCGGAGGCATCACCACTACTTCTGTTCCTGGAAGTCCAGATGGTGTCTTTGATCAAACTTGCATAGATTTTGAAGCTGAGAATGTAGGCGGTATAGCCAATAGTACAGGTTTCATCTTAGATCAAAAAGATACAGATTCCATTCCTGAAACTATGGGTCACATCTCTCTGTCAGAGAGCACAAATGACACTGTTAGTCCAGTGATGATTAGAGAATGTGAGAAGAATGACATTACTGTTGATGAGTTACATGTAAAACACGAACCTCCTGATACAGCTGTCCTTGCTCATGAAACACATAGAGGTAATGGATTTAAGAATGTAGGTGACATTACCAATAAAGCATGTATGATGGACACCACAGTTACGTCCTGTAGTGATCATGTAACTGTTGATAGCTCTTATGTAGTTGCAGTTAGTATAGCTGATGAGATCTCTAATAATACACGAAGTTTCTCAAAGTTTATAGGAATGAGTGCAGATGCATTCCCTCTTCATGTAGCTGGAAGTGGGAATGACACTGAAAATTTCAGCAACCTGACTGCTTGCTCAGGTATTTATGCTGAGAGTATTTCATCTTGTTTTACAGAGTCAACAGGAAAGTTGATAGAGAGCTTGTCAGATTGTGCTTCCTCCTTACCTATAAAAAAGATTGCTGGTAGTAATTATAACACTTTTTTGGACTCTGAACTCAGTATGTTAAATGGGACAAAAGTACTTTCAGACAGTGCCATGGGCATTGATCTGGGTAGTGCTGGTGATACAACAGAAGCATCGCACGAACTAAGAACTGCCGAAGAGTTCAAAACAAAAGAGCAAGATGACTCAGAGAATGTAGAATTTGGTGTATCTTTTCCTGATAGGGAATCATTATCTGTGGAAACATCCATTGAACCAAAAGCAAATGAAACTTCTCACACAGAGGGAATTACTGCCACTGAGGAGAGCTGGGAGTCTATGTTTAACGATGATGGTGACTGCCTGGATCCACGTCTTCTACAAGAGGTATGTTTAATTGAAATTGCTTGATGCTTAGACAGTTTATAAATTAGGATTTCAGTGGTAATACTGATAGACATTGATGCACATTCACTGATATTTGACAGTTCCTGCAATAAACTAATAGACTTGTAGATTGAGAAGAGAATATCTGATAGATCTTTAAAAAATAAAATATACAGCATTGAGCTATATCTATAATAGCCAAGCCCTGAGAGATCTTATTGAATAAAGATGAATTTAATGGATTTTGGCTATCTGTTGAGGAAATACAAAGGAAAACTTCTTCAAAAAGGTTTTTCTGTTTTAACAAGGTATCTTTTACATGGGCCTATTTAAGGGAAGGAGAATAATTTATTACTGTTGTTATTTATATTTTATTTTCTTGTGGATGTTGGAGTGTTAGACACTGTAGAGGGAAGGAAGTAGAGAAAGGAAAGGTAAAATACAAGAAAGTATCATTGTTTTTTAAGGAGTTTATACTGGGTTAAATTGAAGAATGAATTACCTATTTAGCATAAATAGAAAATGTAAGTGAATAATGATATGCTGGCCAATTAGAATTCATAAATAAATGTTAGATTTGAGGCATCTTAGAAATTACTCAGTTCAGTCTTTTTGTTTTCTTAATTTAGATGTTTACTCTGTATCCAACATTTAAATTCCTTACCATAAATAAGAATCACTGGTTTTAAGTAGTAGAACCACTCCCTCTTTCATTCCCTGTAGTTGGTTCACATAACCTTTGCCTGGAAGGGAAGAAATTATTTTCCTATAAGAGCACCAGTTTTATAAATGAGGAAGTTGAAGCTTGGTGGTCACACCTTTAGGAAAGGCGGAATCAGGATTTCAGTCTAGTTCTGTCTTAATCCAATGTTTATGTTCTTTCTACGGTACCATTTCCTCACCTAAAGGGTTTCTTTTGAGGCATTCCAAAGACCCTTTTGAATACTAAGTGATGAGTCTTTTGTTTCTGAGAATTAAGCTAGAAGTATAGAAAAATTATCACATGCCTGTAAACGAGCCACATGATACTGAAGAGGGCAGCCCATTGGACAGAACTGACTTTCCAATACCAAGCATCCCACCTCGTTCATGGGAGGTGTTTGCACAGAAAGAATTTCCCTGTACCACAAACGAGCACATCCTACAGTCAGGTCAGGAAACACTGTATCTTAAACATTCCTCAGAACAAAATATAGAGCAGAGAATATCTATGAGTGAGCATCCATGAGCCCCTTGAAATTACATGCAAAATTATATGTACGTATGTGCGTTTTTTCATAGCTTTCATCAGATTCTCAAAGGCAGTGATTTCCAAAGTATGGTCCCTAGATCAGCAGCATGAGTGTCATCTGGGAACTTGTCAGAAATGCAATTTATTTAGCCCAGCAAACTATTTACAACTTTTTCAGGTGATTCTGATGCACATAAAGCTTGAGAACCACTGCTCAAAGGTAATACACTTAAATCTATATGAGAATGTGAGTGGGGAACTACAAATGACTGTCAGCCCATAATTAGAAACATACTGTTCAGTAGAGGTTTGAGATCCAAATCAGGTTAAGAAATAATAATAAGGTGGGAAGCTAGGTGAATATAGAGATGTTATTAAGAATTAAAGCATTGAGAGAAGGCTTTAGACTGAGAAAAGAAACAGTGTTTGCAAGAATTGGTGAAAGGACTGCATGAGGAATAGAGAGCACATGAACATGGAGGAGAGATGAACAGCTTCTTCCAAAAGAAGAGCATGGCTCTCATGGCCTTTTACACATGGTGTAGTACTCAGTAAATATTTATCCAATGGATGGAGTTGATAGGGCAGAGTTGGGGACTCTGTCTTTTTAGGGTGGCCTCCAGGGGCTTTCAAAACATCAGGGGCTGGAACTTGGATTCGGTGGGGTAGCTTATGGATATGGCTTGTGTATTGGAAGAGGGGGAGTTCAGGTGTACAACTCAGTTTTTCAGGTCTTTGCAGTGTTTAGAGTAGGTGTAAAATAATTTAGGCAACAACTCAGTATTTTGAGGAGCATAGTAATATAGTTAAAAAGGACATTGGGATGACCTAAAGCTGGGATTGGGAGGAAAACAGATAATACAGTATTTTAAGCTGAGGTTGGACAGTGTCTGGTTGTTGTGTTTGGCTTATGTTTGGAGGTACTTGGAAGAGAGTAGAGTCTGTGTTGAGGAATGAGCATAAATAAGAGCAGGAAGGAAGGAAATTGAGGATGCAAGTAGCAGATCCAACTGCAAAACTATGGGCTCCTGTGCTTTGAGTTTTAGAAAATGTAATAGTGATAATGTTATTAAAAGATGTCACAAATCCAGCAACATTAATAACCCTTTGATGACTTCTGGTTTATTATTTTTATTGCTCCAAACATACTTTATTAAGTGCTAAACCAGAGTGAGTGCCTGCCTACCTTGAAACCTTTCCAACCAAAGGTTTTTGGCTATCATCCCAGCTGGCCTGTTTCTTGATATGATAACAACTAGACATATGGAGGTATGTCTAATACTTCTAATGGTCAGGTATGCTGTAGAGCAAGGTGTGACAGCCATTGGCTTGTGAAGCAATTTCCTGTGACATTTGAACCTCCAAAACTGCCTCAGGGGTTAGAGTGTAAGTAGGTCATTATTGAGCTCCCAGAACTGCAACTCTTGATGAGTCTCCAAAAATCACACTTAGTCTCCTAAAGCCACAGTATGGAATGCCCAGAAACTTAAGGTGGTAATTGATGAAGGACACGATATTGGCATGACTTTTTTTAGCCTTCTGAATTCTTGGTAGAAGAATACAGGAGTTATTGTTCACTAGAAAAAACTTTCATAGCCCCTACTGCCGTCTGTACTGATCAGCAAATCTATTGGTAGAAGGATTAATGGGATACCAAGAATGTAACATTGGTGTTGATAGATACCAGCATCTGTCACCGTCATTGTCATTTGTGGCACTGATTTGAATTTTTAGATGGGGGTAAATATTTAAGTAGGTATCTCCTAAACTTTGTAAGAATTTGAGGCCTTCTTTTAGTTACAGAAAGCCACTAATATTATACAACCATATTCTATAATAGTATGTAGACCATAATGGGAAAGAGAAGAGTAAAAGGAATACCATCCTATCCCACCCGTCTTACTTCTCTGTGTGTGCTAGCTTACATTGTTATACTCTCTCTATCTCCCTATAGTATTTTGCAAAAATGGTGTCCATGTTAAGTGCAAAACCCAAAACTGAAAGGAAAAACTTACGATCCAGTCACTAAAAGCAAATTATATAACCATACAAAGAGAGGAAAGCCCTCATATCCCAACCCCTCGATGCCTCATAAATACTTGGTAGCCCATCACCTTTCAGTTAAATAGCAAATATTGAACACTTAGAGTTTGATAAACTATAAATCCCAAATAGCTAGAGATATATTGTTATCACTGCTGTGTTAAAGGCACTGTGCTGCATGCTATCTTTTGCTCTGAAGTTGTTCATGTTTTATTTGGAGAGACAATGTGTAACTATGTGACTAGTTACACAGCAATCTGCAGGGTAATTAATATAAAACAACCTTATAACAGAGGTACTAAAACTGTATTTCATTGCCTGATAAGTGACACAGAATATGACTTCAAAAGGAGATTAGAGGGATAGGATGGGGGAAAAGAACAAAAGGAGATTAGATCCCCCAATGCTGGACTGGTTGATGCAGTTTCATGTTGGTGAGGCTATAGAATTAAACAAGAAATTATAGTTCCCACTTTTACTATGCTGTTCTGTGTTTCTAATTTCTGTTTTCTATTCTATTTTTTAAAAATGTATAGACTTTATTTTCGAGTAGTTTTAGATTTATTTAAAAAATTGAACAGAGTACAGAGTTCCCATGTACCCCCTCACCTGTCTAGTTCTAATTTTTTTCACAGTGTCTTTTAATAGTTGCAGCTCATTTTAACAGATTTATAATTCATATTTTTATAAAAATGTCTGAATTGACATGTTATTGACTGCCTAAGTGGGGATTTATAGACTCACTTTCCAGATGCTGTATATTCTAATGCAGTCAGTTGGGACATCCAGTGAAGAATCTGAGTGAATTATGTACTCTGTTTTTATTGTTCAATCCATTAGTGAATGATGACTAGATCTCTGGTCCAAACAGAAAGAGGGAACATTAAGTAGATTCCATCGCTCATAGTTTGTTTTGTTTTTGTAACCAGATGACTCCTAAAATTAAAAATTCCCCCTTCTGAGCTCTGTTATATTTGTTGCATAACATTTTTTCCTCAGAATCAGCATAGAAGCCAGCAGCATTTTAATTTCTGATCCTCTTTCAAAACTGGAGAAAGGTGAACAGTTCTTGGCCCATATTGTCAGTACAAGGAAACTTTTATTTAAGGATTCTTGTCTGAAGATTCAGAGATTCCTAGTATACCTTGCTCTGTCCTTGACAGTGCTTGTTTCAGTGAATTCCATGAGATATGGCTTGTGGAGTATGGTTAGGGCATTTTTTAATTTGTTAGGGTTTATAGTAAATCATAAAATTTTAAATTGATTTTCTTCAATAGAAAGTGAGTTAACAAGCAGTTAAGTGGAAGAGAAAAACAGAAATGAAGGACTTGAATAACCTCACCTACATAATTGAGAATTGATTATATGGGTTAATTCTATGTAAATAGATTTTTGAAGCAGCTGTAGTAATTTTATACCACCAACTTGTGCCCAAATCTTGTTGTCCTTGTTCCTGTAACCCCCAGTGCCTCTCATTTAAATTTGTTATACCTGTAACTGTAAAGTGGTTTATTATGTTTAATTGTGTTTAATTAAAAGTACCCACAAAAATGTTCTTATTCCTATCTTCCAAGATGAGCCAGAATTTATATTATAGTCCTTGACATATAAGGACTCAGAACTAGAGCTTTATCCTGTCTTAGAGATAGAACTGCACAAGTCATTTTTAAAAAGTGGAATGTTAGTGTTTAAAATGATTTCTGAAAATAAGTCTCATTAGTTCCAC